GAATATGAATTGTTACCAACTAGTGGCATATTAAAAAATATTAATTAATTTACTAAATATTTATCATAATCAAAAAATACAAAATATTTTAATTACGATAAATGCATTCATAAATATATGTTAAGTAATAGAATGGGTTAGTACTTAATTTGGTAGCAATACCCACATTTGTATTTTTATTTAAATATTTATTAAAATAATAAAAATCTATCTTCTTATAATAAATATACAAAATTTATGACATATATACTATTGTAGAAATTGTACCTAAATGCTAAATATAAAAAAAATGTAAATACTTGTATACAAGTTTAAGATAAGGATCCAAGTTTTCATAAAAGAAAGATTCACACGAATCATGATGTAATAAAAAAAAAATAAAGGCCATAATTTTGGTTTTACAAATATTTTTAGGCAATTTTCAAATATTAATTTCCAATAATGACTGATGATAGCACAGCAGCTTCATAAAATTGTCCCAGGTACTGAGACCCAATGTCCTGAAGCCACAATTTTCTCTCTCTCTTTCTTTGGGGCCTGGGCCACCACAACCACCCACCAGCGATAAGAAACTATCCAATCAGAAACCGGGTCAACCCGATCGCGTCCCCCCATATCACACTGTTAACTTAACTGCATCCGACACTCAGTGGCAATCCTCTGTAAATTTAAAATCAAACCCTGGGCTATTCCCCCAACTACCCCTCAACCATATGCTTCCATCATCTTCTCCGTCAAGTCCAGTCGCCTTTACTCTCTCCCTCTTTTATCTCACTCACTGTCTCTCTCTCTCTCGGTCGGCTAACTTAAGCGGCATTTCTCCGCTAAATCTCTGTCGACTGTATCTCTCTCTGTTCACTTGATATCTTTACTCATATTTTCTGTTTACCCATCCATCTCTCTGTATACACACACACATATATATACACACACACACACACACACGCAGAAAGAACTGACAAAACACCTATACATATCTTACATATTGGCCCAGTGTGGTAGAATTGTGTAGATCTGAGTCAGGCGGCGCCAGATCGGAGTCCGAGGAGTGGCGCGATGGAGGAAGCTCTGGAACAGGCCCGAGCAAAGGACACGAAGGAGCGGATGGCTGCGGTGGAGCGACTGCACGAACTACTCGAAGCTTCTAGGAAGAGTCTGAGTCCGGCCGAGGTGACGTCGCTGGTGGATTGTTGCATGGATCTCCTCAAGGATAATAACTTCAGAGTCTCTGCGGGCGGTCTCCAGGCCCTCGCCTCCGCCGCCGTGCTCTCAGGGGAGCACCTTAAGTTGCACTTCAACGCTCTATTTCCTGCCGTTGTCGAGCGCTTAGGAGACGCCAAACAACCTGTCAGGGATGCTGCCAGGCGCCTCTTGCTCACTCTTATGGAGGTTGCATTCTCTAGAATTCTTCCTTCTTCTCATGCTTTGAATGTCAGCGGTACTTATGGCTGTGTGGCTGCGTGCTTTGTGCGTTCGCACATTAGAATACGTAGCTTATGTCTGACTATGTTTGTTTCTTTCAAGTTGTTGATTGATTTCGAATTTGTTGAGTCTGTTCGTAGATGTGTTTGCCTGGATCCTAAGTTAAATATACTCCTTGATGCTTGTATTGGTGTTAAATGCGGCAATAATCTAGAAACGCGGATTTGACAAGTTATGTCGTGGAATCTGTTTTAAATGCTATATCTTATTTCCAGCTTTTATGTCCGGTAATGACTGAAGTACGAATTGGAAAATGAGTTTGTGTGCAACCCTTTTTTTGTTTATTTAGTTGTGAATTTAACCTATCTGCTCCTGTGAACGGTTGCACTGTGGATATAATATAAGGCCGTTTCATTTCCTTCACGATTTCACTTTTTTTGCTTTGTTTAGCATAAATCTAAGGACCTTATGAAGTTCTTAAATGCTAAATAAATCAGGGTTGAGTCACAGACTTAAAGACCTTGGTTCTTTTGGGTGGAAGAAGTTATGAATAAAGAAAGTAACAGATACAGCAATTGCTTAAAATAATGATTCTTGTGCTGCAGGTTTCTTCACCTACAATTGTGGTTGAAAGAGCAGGTTCCTATGCTTGGATGCACAAAAGCTGGAGAGTCCGTGAAGAGTTTGCGCGCACTGTGACATCAGCAATCGGTCTTTTTGCATCTACTGAGCTTCCCCTCCAGCGGGCTATTCTTCCTCCTGTATGATCATTCATGATTTTATACAAGAATAAGCAACGAAAGAAAGTGGGAGTAACTTTCTAAAATTTCTTTGATTTCAGATTTTACAGATGTTGAGTGACTCAAATCAAGCTGTCAGGGAAGCAGCTACATTGTGCATTGAGGTTAGTGTAACAAGGGGCATGGTTATCCTTGATTCGTTCATTATAAAAGTTTAGCTGTATCCCCCACTGAACTTAAATTAGTGTACTCTTAATTCCATCTTCTAATATAGTTATTGCTAAATTCATCTACTTTTTTGAATATTCAAATATATGAGCCTTTTGAGCTAAAAGTTAATAGGTAATTCCTAGGAAGATCGACAGAGCAACTTCTAAACTTCTGGCCTTTATAGGGACATCTTGATTTCATGAGTGGAAGCTTGGCTTTCTCTCACATCCAAATTCCCTTTTATGATAGAGGCAGTGGATTAGTTGAAATGTGAATTAGAAAGTGAATTGAGAAATATGTTAATATGTATAACCATGTTAGTGGTAAATTTGGTATCATGGCATGAATTGAGTTTGCAATTTTTTGGAACATTGGTTTTAGTGGTCTCTTGTAAATTACTCTAAGCATGCTTTTAAACCATTGATTTCTTGGACCTTTCTGACATCTATATCACTAGGGAAAGAAAGAAACCTTTGAATGTTCATGTAAGTTTCTAGTTTTTGCAGATTCATTCTTAAATGATTTGGTATTAGTGTTTTGTTTTGGAAGGTTTACTGGATGTTATTCCGGCCGAAACAGTCTAGTACTCTGCTATTTGTGAACGTCCAGTCCACTCAGTGCTATTTTGATGACTAGTCCAGTTGCAGTTTCGTGTTTTTGAATTGTGTATGGAGCTCTAATAATATTCTTCATTTTCAGGAGATGTATGCGCAGGGAGGGTCTCAGTTCCGCGATGAACTTCAGCGCCATCATCTTCCTGCATATATGGTGGTTATCTGATTTATTTTCACGTCAATTTGCAATTTCATTTTTTATACTTTCTTGGATGTGCAAATTTATCATGGATGATCATCCCTCATCAGCTCATTGTTGGGCACTCTTTATCTTTTTTGTCTGCTTGATTTCATGTTGTGCACTATGCAATTGAAGTTTTTCTTAATGATCACTGTGATTATACTGCTTACTGAAAGAAATAGGGATATAAATGTAAAGCTATTTCTCTTTTTTAAGTGAGTACATGACTGCAGGTTAAAGAAATTAATGCTAGGCTAGAGAAGATTGAACCACAGGTTCGATCATCTGATGGACTTGCTGGTAATTTTGCCATTGGAGAGATAAAGTCTGTAAGCACAAACCCCAAGAGAAGTAGTCCAAAGGCCAAGACTTCCACTAGGGAGACTTCTCTTTTTGGAGGTTAGTGTCTGTTTTTTGAGTTTTGTGGATATTGAAACATTTTGCTACTGTTACTGACTTTTTAAAAATGTCTTTCCAAAATTGTCTTCATATTTTCAGATCCTGGGTCAAAGACTTCATCAATTTTTAAAACATTTGATGTTTAATTTCATGATTATTTTGTCCTCTTCAGGTGAAGGTGATGTGACAGAAAAACCCATTGAGCCAGTTAAAGTCTACTCGGAAAAGGAACTAGTAAGAGAAATTGAAAAAATTGCATCGACCCTTGTACCCGAAAAGGACTGGCCAATTCGCATTGCGGCCATGCAGAGAGTTGAGGGCCTTGTTTCAGGAGGTTCGTACTTGCCGTATCATCTCTTGCCTCTTCTCTCCTGGTTTTTTCTTTTACCTCCATAGTTGTCAGGATATGTGTTTGCAACAATTAAAGGATGTTCATTCATGGTACAATTCATTATTTCAAAAAAAAAAAAAAAAAAAACAGAATTCATGGTACCATTCAATTGCAGGAGAATGTTTCTTTTTTTCTTCTTTTTTTAATTCTATTTATTTATTGGTAATTTGAGGAAGAAATACCCATATATATGGTCGAAAAATATTCTTATTTTATTTCAAAACAAAAAACAAACAATTCTTATCAGGTGCCGCTGACTACCCTTCTTTCCGGGGACTTCTGAAACAACTTGTTGGTCCACTAAGCACGCAGTTGTCTGACCGAAGATCTAGCATTGTGAAGCAGGTGTTTAGCTATTGCTTTCTCCTTTTATTTTCAAGAAGATTACTGAAGTGTTTCCAACAGTGTTTATATTCATAGGATATGTTGTCTAAGTGATCTTTACGAGATATGAATATTTAGCTTGTAATCAATATAAGAAAATTTCTTTACTTTCATAAATAGTTAGCTTGTGATCAAAATATTTGCTGCGTTTCTTGAACATTTAGCTGGATATTTACGTATGAGGTTATCCATATAAACTTAAATTAACATGAGCTAAAAGGTATTATAATTGGTAAATAAAAGACCATCCCTGTGTTGTAATCTTGATTATATTTCTAGAGGATTCATCTTTAGAACTTTTTGGAAAAACAAATTGTCAAATCACCTATGCTTCTTTCCATGAGGAAAATGGCTTTTTCAAGTTTAAACCATGAAATGCTCATTTGTCTTATTTTTTTAAAAAGCTCATTTATCTTTAAATTGAGTTAATTTGCAGTATCCGGGATTTCACTCTTGAAAAAATATTGAAATCTGGGATCGTGTAATCTTTCCATCTGACTTAGTCATCCTCTTCATTTTATGAAAGATTTAGGGAACTTTGCTGACACTCTAATTGCATTGTAAATTTTTTGTACATGGGCAGACACCCTTTTGGTGCCAATATTAATATATATTTCACAATTTTTTTTTTTAAGTTTTTCCATCTGATTCTCAATCTGTCTGAGTAGGTCTCAATGTGCATGCATGCTACTTTTGACTGGGAGGATGGTAAACATTTTACTATTGAACAGTCAGTGTACTTGGAGTTGTGTTGAAGGGACCTTTTTGTTTACAACCCAGAATTCTTTTCTATTGATAACAATGAGTTCGCTGTTATTAGGCTCTTTTGCCATTCCTAAGTTCTCTTGTTTATCCTTAAGACCCAAAAAAGGGGCAAACTTAAAACATCAACCTGATGAAGGGTATTTGTAGCTGTGTTTCTCACACTTGAGAAGCTAGACTACCTCTGGTTTTTATCCAAGCTAGCTACACTAACTGACTAAGATTACTTGTTAAAATTGTGAGTGTCATTCCTTCTACGTTTTATGTTGTGCTGGGAATTTTGGAGGGCCAGGATAATGATTCGACTGTTGAGAAGGCAGTAAACATGATGCAATCAACATCAAAGGCACTTGCCTGTTATTTCTGTAGCCTTTGAATTCTTCTTGATATGTATATTGTTGTTTCTCACCTTTTTTTTCCCCAGTTAATTAATCTAGTTTTTGTTCCCAAGGCTTACCAACTGTTCTTTTTCCCCCTTTTCATAGTCTCCAACTCTAGGCTCAAAATGGTGAAACCCACTGAATATTGTATAACATAGAAATTTTTCACATCAAGCTTTAGAAGCTTGCATGGTTTAATTTTGTCCTAGAAGACAAGTTTTCTACAGGAAAAAACTGGCCAAGGGCTGTTCCTGCTACATTTTACATTATTATCAGAATTCTGAATTGGTAGTATAGTTAATGTTACTGCTGAAGGGCCAACATATTTGGTGGGAGCAATGTCAAAGGCTCTTGTCTATTTCTTTCTCCCCAGGTATGAATACTGTTATTGCTAAGCTTGTTTGTTTATTTGTTTTGTTCCTAGGCTTGTCATCTTTTATCCTTTTTATCAAAGGAGCTTTTGGGTGATTTCGAGGCGTGTGCTGAGATGTTCATTCCCGTAAGTTCAACCTGCTATTCTAACTATCATAATCATAACATGCATGACGTTTTCTATTAATTCTCTGATATGATAATCAGGTCCTTTTCAAGCTGGTTGTGATTACTGTACTTGTAATTGCAGAGTCTGCTGATAACTGCATAAAAACGGTAATTTTTCCCTTTTTATTCCTATGTACTAATTACCTTTTTCATTTCTTTTCAATTATGTTCTATCTTTTATTTTTCCTCTTTGCATGCTCTTTTACTTAATCTTTTTGTACTTCCAGATGTTGCGTAACTGCAAAGTATCCCGCGTGCTTCCCCGTATAGCTGATTGTGCAAAGAATGACCGAAGTGCCGTGCTCCGTGCCAGGTCTTGCAGCCTTTTCGTGCTTTATTGTGCTGTTTCTTCTGGTTCCATTAGAGGCAATTTATATTATCCTTTGCATTGCTTTGCAGATGTTGTGAATATGCATTATTGATACTTGAGCATTGGGCAGACGCACCAGAAATACAGAGATCTGCTGACCTATACGAAGACCTGATTAAGTGTTGTGTTGCAGATGCAATGAGTGAGGTATTGATGTTGTAATTTCTTTCAATTGTTTTGGTATATGTTCTTGTCATATTTCCATGCTATCTGGATTCCCACTTTTATTATTGTTTTCTGTTTCATGTCCATTCATTTTTTCTTTTCTTTTTTTTTTTTTTAAAATTTAATCTATTATATGCTTCAAATACTCAATGAGCTGGTAATTGCAAAAAGTGAATTGCAAAATCATTCCTTTTCCCCTGATATTTTGTTACTAAAGGTTCTGTTAAGAAGTTAAGCTATCAATTAACAGGTACGTTCAACTGCAAGAACATGCTATAGAATGTTTGCAAAAACGTGGCCAGAACGTTCACGGCGCTTATTTTCATCCTTCGACACTGTTATTCAAAGGGTATTCTCCTTCATCTATATGAGATGTCTATATATACACCATTAAGATCAAAGTCATCTTTAGTTTTTCTTTCTTCCCTTGACAGATTATAAATGAAGAAGATGGGAGTATGCATAGGCGACATGCTTCTCCTTCCCTTCGTGATAGAAGCTCACAGCTGTCTTTCAACCAGACATCTGCCTCCTCTAACCTCCCTGGATATGGGACTTCTGCTATAGTTGCAATGGATAGAAGTTCAAGCTTACCCTCAGGGACTTCTCTTTCTTCTGGGTTGCTTCTGTCACAGGCCAAGTCCCTTAGTAAAAGTTCTGAACGTAGTCTGGAAAGTGTGTTGCATGCTAGTAAGCAGAAGGTTACTGCAATCGAAAGCATGCTTAGAGGTTTGGATATATCTGAGAAACAGAATCCTTCAGCTCTTCGATCAACTAGCTTGGATCTAGGTATTGTGTCACTTTTAATACTGAATATTTTTCTTCATCTGCTTAGAGTCTGAAGTCATTCACTGATGCTGTTAGGATAATCTGCTAATGACAAATGAGTTGCATTTTAAGTTAGCTATGAGCGGCTAAATTTCTTTTAATTGGCCCCTAGTGCAGGAGTTGACCCTCCATCATCTCGTGATCCCCCTTTCCCTGCTGCAGTTCCAGCTTCAAATAATCTAAGCTCTTTAATGGCTGAATCAACTGCCTCTAGTGTTAGTAAAAGTGTTAACCGCAATGGTGGGCTGATTTTGTCTGATATCATTACTCAAATTCAAGCTTCAAAAGATTCTAGTAAACTATCTTCTCGCAATAATGCAGCAATGGACTCTCTGCCTACTTTTTCAGCTAAGAGAGTATCTGAAAGACAAGAAAGAGGTTTGATTGAGGAGAATAATGACACCAGAGAGGCTAGGCGTTTTATGAATACCCACGTCGATAGACAGTATTTGGACACACCTTATAGAGATCTAAACTTGAGGGATTCACACAACAGTTATGTTCCCAATTTTCAGAGACCTCTTTTGAGAAAGCATGCTGCAGGACGAATGTCTGCAGGCAGGAGGAGGAGTTTTGACGATAGCCAGCTATCTCTAGGGGAAATGTCAAATTATGTTGATGGTCCAACATCTCTTCACGATGCTCTAAGTGAGGGACTCAGTCCAAGTTCTGACTGGTCTGCCAGGGTTGCTGCTTTTAATTATCTTCGATCTTTGTTGCAGCAAGGCCCAAAAGGTGTTCAAGAAGTAATGCAGAACTTTGAGAAGGTCATGAAGTTGTTTTTTCAGCACTTGGATGATCCCCACCATAAAGTTGCACAAGCAGCTCTATCTACACTGGCAGATATTATACCATCATGCCGAAAGCCCTTTGAGAGTTATATGGAAAGGATTCTGCCCCATGTATTCTCCCGGTTAATTGATCCAAAAGAGTTAGTTAGACAACCTTGCTCAACAACCTTGGAAATTATTAGCAAAACTTATAGTACAGATTCTCTGTTGCCCGCTTTGCTCCGTTCATTAGATGAACAGAGATCACCAAAGGCCAAATTGGCTGTGATTGAATTTGCAATTAGTTCTTTTAATAAGCATTCAATGAATACTGAAGGCTATGGTAACAGCGGCATCTTGAAGCTATGGCTTGCTAAGTTGACGCCATTAGCTCATGATAAGAATACCAAACTGAAGGAAGCAGCTATTACATGTATCATATCTGTCTACTCTCACTTTGATTCAACAGGTGTCCTTAATTTCATTCTTAGTTTATCTGTCGAAGAACAGAATTCCTTGAGACGGGCCCTTAAACAATATACTCCTCGCATTGAAGTGGACTTAATGAACTACTTGCAGAACAAGAAAGAGAGACAGCGACTGAAGTCCTCTTTTGACCCATTTGATGTTGTTGGAACATCTTCCGAAGAAGGATTTGTCGGTGCATCCAAAAAGAGTAATTTCTTTGGAAGGTATTCTGCTGGTTCTGTTGATAGTGATGGTGGCAGAAAGTGGGGTTCCACTCATGAATCAAGTCTAATCACATGTAGTACTGGTCAAGCACTTTCTGACGATACCCTGGAGAATGCGTATCAGAATCTTGAGACTGGTTCTAATGCTGATGTGTCAAAAGGAAAGGATTTGACATACTTACTTAGTTCAACAGGTCAGAATATGGCATCCCATGCTGGTCGTACAGAAAATTTTAACACTGCCTTAAAGTTGGAGGGTTTGTCTACTCCACGCCTCGACATCAATGGTCTAAAGAGCTCTAACCTCCTTGGGAATGGACAAGAGAATGAATTGCCACATGACTTGGGTCTTAATGATCATAATCTTTCCCCCATCAAGGTTAACTCTATCCCAGAAAGTGGCCCAAGCATTCCTCAAATCCTTCACGTGGTAATTTTTGTAATTCTAGTCTTCCTTTATTTTGATAGTAATTAATTGGTGCAATTAATCTAGTTGAATGTATTTGTTTACTTCCTCAAGTCTTAGTGTTTGGCAAAACATATGTGACAAATATTGTCTGAGATAAATATATGTGCCAAATATTTATGCTTCACATTTTGTAGATTGGCAATGGGAGTGATGAAAGCCCTACTGCAAACAAACGTGGTGCGCTTCAGCAATTAATTGAAGCTTCTGTGGCTAATGATCATTCAATCTGGAACAAGGTATTATCAGTTTTCTCATTCTAGATTCATTTTCCTTGTCTATATGTACAGATACAACTTTATGAGGGATAGGTGGGTAGGATAATTAACTTTTTCCTCTTGTAGGATGAAGAGAACTTTTAGGCTCTAGTCTACTTGTATATATTCAAACATTCGGATAAGCATCTTTTTCCTTTTTCGTTCTTTATAGTGGACTTAATTTATTTTCAATTAGAAGGGAATTGATTTTCCCTCTTCATTTTGCATTCTGTTATTTTCTGTGCGTGGGTGTCTTAGAATATAACTCAAGAGATGGGGTTTGCTATTTTTGCATGCCATAAAATCTCCATCTATTGATTTGACCATATCTGACAGCTAATTTACAGACAAAATTTTGATAGACTACATATCAATATGAATGGTTTTGGTGTGTATGTTGAACTCATAGACATATATACCTTGTTACCTTCCTCCAGTTGGTGTCCTTTACACAGCCAGGAAGGTGGGTTGTTGTCCTTTATTATGCCAAATTCTCTTCCGTTGAGATAAATTGGTACTTGATTCTTTTTATTTTATCGTTGAAGTGGTTTTCCTTGGAGATGAAAAATTTGCCTCCTGATAGGTTCCTTAAAAATAAAGCGTCAATATTTATGTTCTCTGCCAAATATCATAAAATACTGCTCTGCTATAATTTTGTTTGCTTTCGACTATGCTAATGTTACCTCCATTTCATATCTGCAGTACTTCAATCAGATTTTGACAGTTGTACTTGAAGTACTGGATGATACTGATTTGTCCATTCGGGAACTTGTTATTTCATTGATTATCGAAATACTCAAAAACCAGGTATATGATGTTTTCTTTATATGATTGTTTGGGGGACAATGTCCTGGTGTGGTTTTCTTTTTTAAATTTTTTTCTATGATATGCTGTTGACAAATCCAGTTACTGTTATGTTTGGCGATTCCAGAAAGATGCCATGGAAGATTCTATTGAGATAGTAATTGAGAAGTTGCTTCACGTTACAAAAGATATCGTTCCAAAAGTAATTTACTTCTATTAATTTATTTTGTTTGGTATTTTCTCGCATGGTTCAAATCATCTCATTTTGCACTCTGTATCCAGGTATCAAATGAAGCCGAGCATTGTTTGACTATTATTTTGTCTCAGTATGATCCATTCAGATGTTTGAGTGTATGTCCTGAGATCTTCCTCTCTTTAATGCAGACACAAAATGTTTGGCTTTTTTCCCCTTCTTTTACTCAGAGGTCTGTGGTTATGGCCAGTGATCCTATTATGACTAATTTTGCAGGTTATTGCCCCCCTGTTGGTCACTGAAGATGAGAAAACTCTTGTTACTTGCATAAACTGTTTAACAAAGGTACCTTCCCCTTTTGACATGGGATATTGAGGAGTTAATGTCATATATTCTGTCCAGTTATCCAGGCTTATATTGTATGTTGATGCACTGTGTCAGATAGAGGTCAATGTGCATTACAATTTGTTCACCTTGGAATTAGTTTCATATTTGTATTATTTTTAGAGTACTGTAAATATGCAAGTCCTGTAAATTGTGAAGTTCTTTAATTGAGTAATATCTTATTTTTGGAGAACATTATTTTTTCTGTGGATTATGGGCTTTTTTTTAAGTGAACCCTAAGTTCGTAATAAACTTGAGCGATATCAAGTAAGCATTTCTCTTTTTGAGGGGATCAAGCTAATTCATTCATGCTTCCAAGTGCATCTTGCCCGATCATTTTATCTGTGATCATCTATTCTCTAGGCAAAACAAAAATTTCTATGAAGAAATCCTAGAAAGATTTTATGTGCATGAAGTTTCTATCTTTTGGCTTTAAAATGGGGTTTAGATTATGCAATGTAGTGAATAAAAGGAAAGAATGGAGTTTAGAGATAGAGAGGCGAAGAGAGAAGGAAGGTATTGGACGGAAACAGCACATTGTGGCATGAGGGTTGCTCATTTCAAGTGAAGGTTGCCTATATTCCTAGATAGGTGTCATTACCTTTTGGGAGAGTTGAAATTCTCTGACTTTGACTAGTATCCATTATTTTCATGCTTGCTACATTCCGTGGGCAAAATATTCAGAATATCATGCTTCAAATTTGAGTAGATTTGTGCTTTCACTATCAGTGGCTATATTGCTCATATTCTTTATTTTCTTTTCAGCTTGTCAGCCGGCTATCTCAGGATGAACTAATGACCCAGTTGCCATCATTTTTGCCTGCTCTTTTTGAAGCTTTTGGAAACCAGAGTGCAGATGTTCGGAAGGTAATAATTATTTTTTCCTTGGCATGTGAGATTTGTATACTTTTCGCCCATTTGCAGGATAAAAATCCTTCTACTCTCAAGAACCTTTCGGCTCATCTCTTGGATCTTTGCCAGATGAGAAAACTGTTTCTGTAAAAATGGAACAACAAATAGTTAGAATTTGCTGTCAGGAAGGATGCCAGTGATTTTGTTCTTCTGAATAAATTTCCTTATTTTTTGGGTCTGGATGGCATTTTGTTCTGCTCATTTTCATGGTTCAAGAAATGCAAAAGATTAGTGCTCCCTTAATAAAATATTTTATAGTTTTTATCTTTTAAATTTGTTATTACTTTTTGAAATAAAAGTAGTATGATATGATTCATTCACAAGCATCAAGGGTTGCAAATCCATTTACAAAGATATAGACATATCAATCAAAATGGTTAATAAGATCTCTAAGATCCTCCAAATAGTAAAAGGATGACTCATAATAAGAAGACTGGAACCATTTATTTTTAACCTATCAAAATTAGCTTACATGTCCTCAAAAGTTCTCACGCTCTTCTCTTTCCATCCAACCTAAAATGTGGCAAAAAGGATGAGGTTATTTTGCTTCTTCACACTGTTGATTCCTTTCCACGCCCAAATTTCATCCCTTACCAAATTAGCCATCACCCAGTTAATATCCAAGAGGCTATAAATAAGGGTCCACAGTTTGCATCAAATGGACAACGCAGAAGGACCAAAATCCTGTCTTTCCTAATCAGTTTGTCCAGAATTGAAATGCAAACTTTACCTGTCTTCCTAGCAAAGAAGGCAACTCTAGATGGAGTGTTAACCTTCTATACTTGCCTGAACGGAAAATCTGTATGCTTGACCTTTCTTTTAGTCAAGTGATTATAGAAGGATCTAACAGAAAATATTCCTCTAGCATTGAGCCTTCATTGTGGTTGGTCTATCGTCCCATCAATTCTAACCCTAGCAAGGGCAAAGAATAAATCCTCATATTCTTAACTTCTTAGTTGTTGCAATTTCACATGATCTCCATAGACCACTCTTCCTTCCCCATAGTGCTATGGTAGGACTCTTGAATTGAGATATTCTTGTACCGAGCAATAGGATAAATCTGGGATAACTATTATCTGAGTGCGCCAACCTCCAATTAGGACTCATGCCATAAACTGACCTTGTGCCTGGTACTGACTCTCCAGCTGATTGAATCCTAGAAATTTCTCCTACTAATACAGATTATTTTCTGCATTCTGTTATCATGGGGTCTAGACAAAAGCCTAGTCTACCAGCCTTTGTCCATAGTACCAAATTTCGCCTCAATCATCTTTCACCACAGACTACCAATTTCATTCATCAATCTCTAAAACCATTTTTCCCCAAGGAGCCATAGTAGCCTCCACTATATATATTAAATCTATAGACTTTTTGAGTTCATCTCAAGGCACTCGATGATATTTTCTTCTTTTTTTAGTGGCTCTCCATAAGAGTCAATATTGAATTGATTTAATTTCTTGGTCACATTCATAAAGATCGTTAATAAGAACATATAATAAATGGAAATATTGGCCATAGTGCTCTTGGTAAGAGCAAATCTCCTCCTCCCTTCCCCATCTTCCTTTTAGATAAAAAGTTTCTCTTTCATCCAGCCAACTGCTGATCGAACCTCGCCACCACAAGGTCCCAAGTCACAACATTCTTGTATTTGTCACCCATGAACCCCAAATATTTGCTCGATAAGTTCATGCTCTTGCATCCAATAATTCTAGATAATTTGTTGGTGTCCCTTATCACCTAGTCTTACAAATTCAACTTGGACGTGTTCATGTTGAGACTAGATACTGCAAAAGCTTAGTAGAATACATCTGAAGTTAAAGTAAAGCCCTCTCATTCGGTCTGGAGAAAAGTTAAGTATCATCAGTAAAACATTAATGAGTTACCTCCACTAGATGCTCACTATCGCCCCACTATTAACCCTTTAAATATCTCAAGCTCTCTAGCCTCCAAAGACATTATGTCAATATAAGAAACTGTTAAGTAGTCTTTCTCTCGTGACATTAGATGTTAGTAATGATAGCCCTCACTGGAGCCTTATTAGTAATGATAGCCCTCACTGGAGCCTTATTAAGAATTCACGGTTAAGTCTTTCTACATGTAGTTATTCAAGCATGATGACAATGATGTTAGATTCCTGGACAAATAAATTTGGAAGGTAAGAGCCCCTTTTGTATATTGTTTTTCGTGCGGAAGACTAGTAGGGAATGTATCTCAACAAGTTACAAGCTGAGGAGACGGGGTGAGATTTTGGTGAATGCTTGTTATATGTGCAGGAGGGCTGAGGAGAACTGTGACTATGTATTGTTCTGGTGTCTGGTGGTGTACAAACTTTACACTATGTTTTGTGGGACGTATCAGTTGGTGATGGTAGGATCGATGAGAGATGAAATTTGAGCGTGGAGGGGCATCAAGAGACAAAGGAAACAAGTGGACTTAATGCTGCTTACTATCTTTTGGACAGTGTGGTAGGAAAGGAACAAAAGGGCTTTTAATAGGGTGAATGATGTGAATGAGTTTGATCTACTTAAGAGCAGATGGTTGCTGATATTTTGTTATTGGGTCATTCTTCACAGTCTATGAAGGATTTAAGGTACATAGATTGGCAACCCCTAAGTCCCCATATTAATAATACACTCACATATTTTATTTTTTTTAGAAGTACTCCTATAATAATACTGAATAGAGGAAGGGATAGGGGATAGGGGATAACCTTACCTGAGATCTTTGGTACATCTGGAAAACGAAGATGGACCCCTATTAACCATAAGAGCAAGAAAGGTTGTTGAGATGCTTGAGCTAATCCATTTGCAACCTCTTAGTGCCATATTAATAATACACTCACTTTTTTTTTCCAAAAAAGTTAGTAGAAGGGACAGGGGATCACCTTGCCTGAGATCTTTGGTACCTCTGAAAAAAGATGATGGACCCCCCTATTAACCATAAGAGCGATAAAGGTTATTGAGATGCTTGCCAAAACCCAATTGCTTCAATATGTAATTAAGGAAGTTCCCATTCACATAATCATAGATTTTCTCCATATCAAGCTTGCAAAGAGGACCCTCCTATATTCTTGTGTTGCATTTCATCCATGGTCTCGTTTACAAATAGGCTGCAGTGAAGATCTATTTTCCCCTCATAAAAGTATTTTGACACTTACCCACCACCCTCAACATCACTTTAGTCATTCTCCTTATAAACAATCTCTATTAAACTAATAGATTTGAAATCCTTGATACTTATCTTCCTCTCCACCTTAGAATAAGCACCAAACAGGTAGAGTTTGAACATTTTACGAAGGACTTAAACTCATGAAACTCATTAAATAGTTTGATAATATCGTATTTAATTACATGTCAAAGCTTTTGGTGGGAAACTCATGGTAAAACCATTAGGTTCCGGAGCTTTCTCCTTTGTGGATTGCATAAGACTCTCTAAAATCTCCTCCTTAGGAAAATCCTTTTCAAGAGATTACAGCTTTGTTCATCCAAGGACATAAAAGTAAGGCCATCCAACTTAAACCTTCCAACAAAATCCTCAGAGTATAACTTGCTGAAAAAAGATTCTACTCATTTCCTTAAGTTCTCATTCCCCTTCACCACATGGCCATCATTATCTAACTCCTCCATATAATTGATTTTCCTGCGATGATTAGGCATAAAGTGAAAGAATCTCATATTTCTGTCTTCCTTCTGGATCCATCTAGTTCGCAGTTTTTATCTTCGTGAGATTTCTTCCATTTGCATTCTGTTTGCTAACTAAAGCCCAATAGATCCTACACAAGCCAAATTTTTTAGTGGACAAACCTCTCTCTCCTTTTATATGGTGAAGTTCCTCAAGGTCCTGGATTAAGGACTGAGTGAGTATCGCTTCTCCTTCCAATTCCTTACATCACTTCTTAATTTCAGCTTTAACCACCCCTAAGTTCCTATCCACCCTGTAGCTAGCATTTCCTTCCACCCTCACCCTATTCCACCAATGAACTTTTGACCATTTATCTTTAAATCTGAAGGGAGAGAGTCCCCATTTTATCCCATCAGAGCCTAAAGATATGGGGAAGTGATCATAATAGTACACTACAAATTTTTTTGGCATAACTCCTATATATGAAATTGATATATAGATGGCACAAAGAATCTATCAATTCTGAAATTAATATATAGCCTTATATCCAATGGTTGTAACCTATCTAAGGTCTCTTGGAACTCATCAGCACAAATTCTGGAGAAGTGTTCGCCTGATCTATTCTGTTTGTACAGGACCATATTAAGCAACCTCCTATAATCTATGGGAGATTTCCATTTCTTTTACATTCATCCAAGTCCTTCCACGATTGCCCCTCTTTCTTCCTTCACCTTTTCCATATACTCCAATAGACACTCACTTCCACCTATTCTTTCTATCTTTAAATAAACATGAGGTAAAGTAGTCTTCAATCAAAAACTCTGTACAACTAAGAACTCCATCATTCTATAAGAAAAGAATCCCACCATTAGCCCAATTAGCAGGAAGCTCCTTCCATCCTATCTCCCTGACCTTCCAAAGGTCGTAGGCCATGTCAGTCAATATGAAGCTCATTTTAATTTTCTTAAGGCAAATAACCTTAGGTTTCCATCTTATCATACAATCTCTTGTCAAATGTACTTATTACGATCATTGATTCGTCTAAATTCTAAGAGATGATATTTATAACATTGAGTATATTTAAGATCATCCCTTCTTCCTTCTTCTACCCCTTAGATTATCGTAGTTGAGGGTTTACTGCAGCTTCTTCAATTCTCTAGTCTTGTCTACCCCCTGTGTGCTCTTATCTGAAGGTTTTGACCAGCCCCATTCACCTTCTCCCTTTTTATTTTTTCAATCTCCCTAAAAAGTATCATATCTTGTTCATCGAGTCTTTCTAAATTGACCTCAAACATTTTACTGATCCACTGTATGTTTTGTTGGACCAATCTAGAATTGTCTTCTTCACTCAGACCTCCCCTGATCGGGGATTCACATCCTCCGCAACCAACACAACCTCTTGCACCACAATTATCTACCTGCTCTAGACTCTCCGTCGACATCAATCCTCATTGCTGAAGTCACTGCCAATGGCAAAAGAAAGGTCCTGCCAGCCTTCTTGGTGAGTCCATGCACTGCTTCCCCTTCTTCTACTTCCAACATCATTTCGTCTTTCCTTTCTTCTTCCTCTCCATTCTACCAGATTCCTCCTTTCTCTGTTGCCTTCTTCACTGCCAGAATTTGCCACCCCCATCTTGCACCATACATGGTTCTTCACCTTCTTCCCTTACCTAGTTCGGATTTTTGTCCTTGTTGGTCACAGGTCTCCATTAGCACAAGGGGCCCAATCTCGCATTGTTTGATCCATTTTCCTTTTATGGCCCAACTAAATTTCAACTTTTTACCAAAATTCCCCCTTGTTATTGGGCTCATTAAGCAGAGGTCCATTCAGGGCCCTAACTTCCCCAAAACAACACATCTTCCTTGCGTTTTGGTAAAATTTAAATTTCACTGAACCATCTTGCAATCAGGTCTCTTCTTCCCCATCCAGTTCCCCTCTCTCTTCCCCTCTTTCACCATTTCAACAAAATTCATCTCTCCCCTAACCTCCAGCCTCTCGATCAGCTCCACTTTACAACCTGGGCATCTTAGCGTACTAGGAGTTGTGTTGTGCACCACCATCTAGCAATGCTACGTGTTAGAAAAATAAATCCACAATATGTATACAATCACAATAAAATAGAATAAAAATAAGAAAAGACACAAAATTTAAAGTAGCTTGGCAAGTATGCCTACATAAATGGGTAAGACCGGGAAAAAAATTTTCCATTATGATAAAATGAGAGTACGTAAATCTTTATATAGACAGTTTCTGGGTCTTTCCCCTAAAATATTTCTCTAGATATACACAAAATATCACCGTAACCAAGCCACATCAACACTATGTTCTTTGGGGGCCCAGTTTCAGCACCTTTTGTTGTACAAACACCCTGAACTTCCTTCCCACCATTTTGAACAAATGCCTCTATCATCCTTCACCACCCTCTGGCCTGTGCACCTTCCAGGATGAAATTCAATCTAGCTTCCTCTCGCTTCTTCTCTGTAATAACCAAGAACTTATCCTGTTTTTTGCTTCCCATGGTCACCCAAAGTTTGTGGTTGCTACTTGCCGTATTCTGCCCCTGGAAGTTCTCTTTTTCCGTCCAGTAAAACTCCTGCAGAGCACCCGGTAGTTACTTGACCTCGTCCTCTCAGAATGTGATGGTCGACCTAAATCTTCTCCCATTTTCACTCATCCAGATGCCTTTCTCTTTCTTCCCCGCGAAACTGGCGTCAAGAATCTTGCTTTCTATGACCAGAAATTTTCTGGTCGGAGAAAGCACTATGACCTCGCCACTTGCCATGGGGCATGAGCAAGGAGAAAACAGGTAACCGTACAGAGATTCATGGCCCACATCCATGCAGATTCTCTCAGTCCTTTTTGTACACTTGTGTTCAAGTAACATTTTTCTCTTTATTTTCTAAATTTGCATGTATGTATATATGTGTATATATATTGATACGTGCTTATATGATGCTTCAGATGTTCAAAACAGTTCTTTAGAAAATATTTAAAACAGCTTTTTTATTCTTCTCAAACTCATGTTACTTTTTCACTATTACTTCCTAAATCTTCTTTTTGTTTTCAACTGCTGCACATGTTTTTGTGTATAAAGACATTTGAGTTTAGAAATGAAATAAAAAATAATTTCATGGACCAAATGGAGCATAGAATTTTAGAGTTTCCAGTTCTATCGGCTAGGATTTGGAACTGTATTTTTTAGTTTTCAATTCTTTGATAGTTCAGTGGTTTGTGGTTTTGGGAGGGCTTGCATGATATACTAGTAGTGCATTAGAATTGTCTCCAACCTGATATTTTTCAATTAGGTGGAATGTGAGTCTCTATCTTTTTGGGTTTTTGTTCCATTTGGAATGTTTTTCCAATCAGAAAGGTAATGCAGCTTTGAGATTTTGAGGAAAATTCTGCGTAGGATTCAAGGTTTCAAAGTAGGCATGGGATTTTGACGTTTACTAACTATCTTAGTGTAACCCTTAGGTCCATCAACTGTTCACCAAATGTTTAATTGTTGTTGCTTAAGTACATGGGCTCACATGTTTGCTTCATCCTGAATCCAAAGGCAAAATTGGAATATGAAAATATTTTCTTTCTAATTCTCTGTAACCAAAGAGAGAAGAAAATTGCAGTAAGGTAAATAAACTCCTTCACTCTGGTCCCCACTGTGTGAGTTTTGAGCATCACAAATTTAGACCAGGGGTCTACGGGTTTAGAATTCACTTGGAAACACCATGCTAAATTATTACTTCGGACAATAGTTAAATTTTTTGTGGAAAAAAAGGAAAAGAACCAAACAGCAAAAACTTCACTGGTAGGAAGTACTCTGAGGACTCACCACGGACGGAGCAATGACAGCACCAAACCACTTGGGCAGTTTTTGGTAGTTCTGCCATACTCCTTTACCAGTCTTCTGCTTTTTTCTAACTAGTCAGCTTTGCCAGCTTGAAGCACGTGAGAAAGAGATCCTATCGACTCTTGTAATCTACTAATAGTCAGCACTAGCAACCAATAGCAAGTCCCTACATTCCTTTTATGCCGGAGACATTCCAGAGACTCAGGAAGATTACATTGGAGAACAGGACATATCAAACTCAAGAATTTTGCCATCTCTTTAAGATGTACATCGTACCCCATTACCCCTTTCCTGCCTCCTTTTATTTAAAAGGGATATGGGGAGGGAAGGGGGTAGGATTAGTAAGAACTAGAGAGAATTTTTGTGCATGCATTCTCCTTTTCATTGATGATTTGGGTTCGCTTATTATCTCTCTTTGATCTTGTATCTGTTAGGTTACCAAGAAAACGGGAGGAATTTTATTCCTTAATTCCAAATTTCAACCGTCTGCTGAACAGTTGATAAATTGGAGTCACATCCCATATTCTATAGAGATTTTTTATGTTTATTTTTGAATTAGTTCCTATAGTGATTTTTTCTGAAACCCAGGGTTTTCATCTCGCATTTTTCATTCCGTCAACATTGCATCATTGGAGAACTCATGATTCTATTGCTTGGGGGGTTGGGGTGATGCCATGACCAGTGATCTGTTCAAGATTTTTTTTTTTTTTGCTATGATGTGTTGTAGAGTTAATTGTTTCGTCACTGTTATGGTATATATTTCATTCAGTTAATCGATATTGTTTTTCCATAACGCCTCTAAAATGTTGAATCCTGTGTACCTAAACCAATTCCACATCATAAAAGAATTTGATAATGAAGGTCAATATAAAGGCTCAGGTTACTAATAATTTAAACCTGAGTTTTTAGAGTCGATGATTTGAGTCAGAAAAGTTATTAGGTCATTAGACTTTTGTTTTGAAACTGTTATAAACAGTATTTGAGAAAATCAAGTGATAATTTTATTTGGACTCTTTTTGATTCAACTGTATCTTTAGAGAAAACTGTAATTATTGAGTTCAATGTAAAAACTCAAATCATTGGGTCGTGCTTGAGTCTGGAGTATGACAGTTATGATTTATTTTAATTTTCTATTTTATATATGGTCTGGTTATTTGATTGCATGTTGGCACTGGATTTGCAGACTGTTGTTTTCTGCTTGGTGGATATCTATATCATGCTGGGGAAGTCATTTTTGCCATACTTGGAGGGTCTCAATAGCACACAGTTACGACTGGTTACAATTTATGCTAATCGGATCTCACAGGCGAGGACAGGTACCCCTATAGATGCTAACCATGGTTAGCTAGTTCTCTTTCTGAGCAAACTGTGGGTTTTGGGTGTTGGCTTATCCATTGTTGTGTATTTTGTATATGTGTGAATGCATTTTGAGGGTGGCTTTTCTGTATTTTTTATATGTTTCTAGTTCCATTTTTTAACACTTGCTTGGTTTGGAGGAAGAGTGTGCTCAGTAGAGAACGAGTATGTAAGTGGACTTTTGTGCCCCTGTTGTAGAATTGCTATGTATTTAGCTCCTGTCTATTATATTGAGAAAGAAATATGGTTTTGGGATAAATGCCAGTTGCGTACAAGCAGGATTTAAATTCCTATAATTATCCATGAATTAGCTGTACGAGACTTCATTGGCTATGTTTTTTTTTTTTAATGAGGGTGGAAACCGCCTTTTGCAAGATATGAATCCATGCCCTAATAAGATTGCGTGAAGAGGGCTACTCTGCCCGGGTCACTTCATTTGCATTCTTGAAAGTGTTGTCTGACCACAAAACAAGATACTTTGCGTATTGCATTTTCTGCACTTTTCTGCTAATTAATTTGTATTTACGTTTGAGATTTTAATTCAAATTCTAATTTTCTAGAATATGAATACAATAAAAATAGAAGAAAAATTTAAATAACAATAACATTCAAATTTTATCAATTTTATGACCAGTTTAATTAATTATTTTACGTATACATTTTTTTTTTTTTAATAAATGAGAATTCAAATGTGTGGTTGTAAAGGGGAAGGACAATTTCCGTATTCTCCTGTTTTTGTTACTGCGACTGTTCGATTTGTGATTTTTTCCCGAGGTTTCTCGTGTAGGCTGTTTATTTATGCTTGCATTGACTAGTAGACCGGTGATTAATATTACATAATGTTTAGCAGTAAAATGAAAGGTATTAAAATTGGGAAAAATATTTTTTAAAACATTTTTTTAAAGTCCAAATTAGGTTGATTTGTCAAAGTTTATTTAGTAAATAATAAAATAATAAATAAAATAAAAATCCATTACCACGAAATTCAATGTAAAGAAAATTGTCTTTAAGAAAAAAAATATGTAAACAGTAATTTAATTTTACCCATCAAGAATAAAAACAAACTAAAAAAAGAATTAAACTAAATGAATCAGGCTTACAAGTATGGTGGATGTTATGAATTCCATTACATATCATTGGAGTTATTGTTTGCTTAATTTACTTTTGGAATGACCTATTTTTCACTAAACTAAAAATAAAAAATAAATTATATAAGTTACTTTTTTTTCCCTTTCTATGAAAAGCACTCATGTCAAAAGATTGCTCCCAAGAAAAAACCCTAGAACAGTAAAGTGCAAAGATGTGCGACATATAGGTAGTACACGACTATACGTTGAAACTTTGTGGTAAAACATATTGTTAGATATACCAACTACAATTTAATCTGAATTAATCACCTAGCTTCAAAGTTTATAATCATGAATTTCCTCTTTCGTGATATACTTAGTATACCTTCTATTAAATGTGTCAAATAAATAGTATATTAGGGAGGCAAATATTAAATAAGAGTAATATTCTACGTATAAAAATATTACAAAAATTGCTTATAATTTGATGATGTGAAGATGGATAATTCACAATTTTCTATTTATATAAGTTGATTTATCGGTTTGTTTATAAATTTTATATTCTTTATACTTTTAACATTTTTTATAAAATAATATCCAAAAATTATATATGTCTCGTGATACTTATGATTCTAAATCAATTTCTTTTAATATAAGAAATCCTCAGTTACGCGTGAAAATCTGATTTACAAGTCACAAGAAACGTGAATGTCATTCGAAGATTCTATTTTATTACAACTCATATCTGCAGCTACTTCTTTTCCGCATCTTACGCTTCTTACAGTGATACTTATAATCCCGAATCAGTTTCTTTTAATATAAGAAATCCTCAGTTATGCGTGAAAATCTAATCTACTGGTAACAAGAAGCATGAATCTCATTCTAAGATTCTCCCTTTATCACAACTCATATCTACAACTACTTTTTTCCGCATCTTTCGTTTCTTATAGTGATACTTATGATCCCGAATCAGTTTCTTTTAATGCAAGAGATCCTCAGCTATGCGTGAAAATCTAATTTACAATCCACAAAAAGCATGAATCTCATTTTGAGATTCTCCTTTATCACAGCTCATATCTGCAGCTACTTTTTTCCGTGTCTTTCGCTTCTTACAGCTTCTTCCTGTGAACTTTGCCCACCGGATATCGCAGCTGATTTGTAAATCTTTGTTCTACATTCACTATAAAAGCTCAAGAGCAGAAACTCACATGCACCATCATTTCAATTTCAAAGACTTAGTTGGGTAAGTCTGTTTATACTTCAGCTTGTACTGTTTGAAAACATTAGGATATAGCAGCTCTCTTTTCTCTTCCTTATTCAAGATTTTTCATTTGATCTTTCTCCATTTTTATTTCATGTACATATTATTCGAATGACTATAAAAGTATGTTTCTTCTTCAACCCCTTCCATTTTCTTGTGTCAATAGGGTTTCCTCTACTTAGGAATCTTGCCAGTCATATCTGAGAATAGTATTAGGAGGGGACATTGATAAAGTTCTGTTGTTGATGCAGGTTCTTTTTGAAGCAATGGCAAGCGAAAGTGCTCCAGTGACAAGTGCTGCGGCTCCAAGCAGGAGAAGGCCGAGTGTGGAACTGCCGGAATTCAAGTTGAAAAACAAACAGCTCAATGCTTTTGTGGTTGATGAACATGAGTTCTCCTGTAAGATTGAGAAAGCATTTCTTGGTTACTTTGGGGTTCGTGCAGAAACTATGGGAAGTGCTGCGAAGGCAATGGAGTTGATTCGAGGAGGACAATCTGTTGATCTCATTCTGATTGAGAAGTTTCTGGAAGACATGGATGGCATTGAGGTAATCAATAAGATATTCATTTTATTTGGTTTAATTTGTTTGGTATGTTCTACATATGACATATTTCGTGATGGCCAGGCTACTAAGCAGCTCCGTGCAATGGGAGTAACTTGCAAGATAATGGCTGTCTGTTGTTATCCTTTTGAAGAAGTCGGGGAGCAGTTTCTGGCTGCCGGAGCTGACATCTACAACGAGAAGCCTCTGGACTTCGAGAAGCTGGTTGAGGTGCTGAAGGAGCTTGATGGGCAGTGAGTAAAGCATGGACCAAGAAGATGACTCCGCTGTTGTTTGTTTTGCTTTTCAATAAAATGTTTTGTTCGTCAGTATCTTATGTTTGTTTGAATTATGTTTGCTTGTTTTTGTTTTTTGAACTAAGATTTATGTTTGCTTGCTGTCATAAATGAAGTGGAGTCTTTTTATTTTTGTTATTATCTCTTTGCGATTTAAATTCAGGATATGTTTGCAATAAATCTAAAATTTATATAACAATAATTCCCAAATTCATATTAATTTAAATAAAAATGACGACCAAAAGTTCTACTTAAAGTGATCAAAGTTAAGATCATATGTAAATTCTTCACGAAATTTAAACAATATATATTGCAAATTATGTAAAGTTTATTAAAATTTAAAACATACATATATATATATATATTCTAAATAAAATTCATATATTCCAATTCTAAATTAAAATTATCATTCAATAGATTTATATATTCGATTAATTAATTATCATTCATTTTAAAAAATTAAAATTGGGTCG